AAATTTTGCGTTGTTAATTTGATATACAATATGTACCAAATTATGTTATGTTGTCTTACACCAGGCCAACTAAATGTATTGTTTAGCATAATTAGGTGATCCTATCGTGTCGTGTTATGTCCAACGATGTAATGACCAGCTATTCACATATTTAGTTCGACGTCGATACTAATAATAACTTTACTAGAGTGGGTAGCAGCTACGTGACAAGCCATGAACGCCATGATGCAACCATAACGACCATATCCGCCATATAAACTAGGCATTCCAAGACATTCCCATTGCACCATAGTACCCATACATTGGCATTATACCGCCCCAGTGATGAAATCCACCATGACCGTAACCATACCCATAACCGTACTCATGACCGTAACCGTATGCATGTCCGTAACCGTACCCATAACCGTACCCATGTCTGTAACCGTATGTATGACCATAACCGTACCCATACCCATAACCATACCCATAACCGTACCCATGTTCGTAACCGTACCCATAACCGTACCCATGTCCGTAACGTATGCATGTCCGTAACCGTACCCATAACCGTACCCATGTCCGTAACCGTACCCATAACCGTACCCATGTCCGTAACCATACCCATAACCATACCCATGTCCGTAACCATACCCATGACCGTAACCATACCCATGGCCGTACTCATGACCATAACCGTACCCATGTCCGTAACCGTATCCATGACCGTAACCGTACCCCATGTCCGTAACCATACCCATGACCGTAACCATACCCATGACCGTACTCATGACCGTAACCGTAACCATACCCATAACTGTACTCATGTCCGTAACCATACCCATAACCGTACCCATGTCCGTAACCATACCCATAACCGTACTCATGACCATAACCGTACCCATGTCCGTAACCGTATCCATGACCATAACCGTACCCCATGTCCGTAACCATACCCATGACCGTAACCATACCCATGACCGTACTCATGACCGTAACCGCACCCATGTCTGTAACCATACCCATGTCCGTAACCATACCCATAACCATACCCATGTCCGTAACCATACCCATAACCGTACCCATGACCGTATCCATGACCGTACCCATGTCCATAACCGTACCCCATGTCCGTAACCATACCCAAAACCGTACCCATGACCGTAACCGTATGCATGTATGTAACCGTACCCATAACCGTACTCATGTCCGTAACTGTATGCATGACCATAACCGTACCCATACCCATAACTGTACCCATGACCGTAACCGTATGCATGTCCGTAACCGTACCCCTAACCGTACCCATGTCCGTAACCGTATGCATGACCGTAACCGTACCCATAACCGTACCCATACCCATAACCGTACCCATAACCGTACTCATGTCCGTAACCATACCCATAACCGTACCTGTAACATAACCCATGTCCATAACCATACCCATAACCATACCCGTAACATAACCCATGTCCGTAACCATACCCATGACCGTAACCATACCCATGACCGTACTCAATGACCGTAACCGTACCCATGTCTGTAACCGTACCCATGTCCGTAACCATACCCATAACCGTACCCATGTCTGTAACCATACCCATAACCGTACCCATGACCGTAACCATATCCATGACCGTACTCATGACCATAACCGTACCCATGTTCGTAACCGTATCCATGACCATAACCGTACCCATGTTCGTAACCATACCCATAACCGTATCCATAACCGTACCCATGTC